ATGCGAATATTGTCATTATTCTCTTGTAGAGCATATTAGAGTTTCGTCATCTTATGTGTAACACATAGAAGGAACACCCTAAAGTAACAATAACTGAATGTAACTATTTCTATCCGAACTGCTCTCTCAGACTTAGAGCTAACGTCATGAAACTTTGCATAGATTCGTCTCCTAGTATATAACTTTGCTGACATAGATAAAGTTCTTGCATTCTTTTTGTTTTTATTTCAAGAGAGTTTTACCTCGAATATCTGCAAGCCCATTGGCCGTAAAAGGGTATTTAATGCTCGGCTTGCTGAAGGCAGCCGTTCTTTTAAGTTGATTTTTTTTTGTAGTCAAATCTTTTTGGCTTGTTTGTGAACTTGTTTTGGTTACTTGTTGCTTTCTGTGTCTGTCGCCGCTGTCGCTGTTGTGGCTGCTGCCGCCGACGCCACAAGCGTCAACAGGTAAACGTAAACATGCCCCACACACGCGGCCAGTTGCCAGAGACAACACAACTCCAAGAGCTCAAGAAAACGCATGTTTGACATTTGTTGTTGACCAAGACGCACGGCCCGCCTCTGAGGGCTTGCATATTTTCTGGTCTTAATGCGTGTTGACGGGAAAAACGTGTAAACGAAAACTTTTCGAAAGTGCGGAAATCTCTTTATGAATGAAATTGGGACTCAGCACACGAGACTGTGTCGATTGTATTGTCAGTTAATAAATAATCGGTTTTGTGTCGCACGCTAATACACCACGCAGCCAAAGCTTGGGTTGGGCCCTAGCCCGAAGTTGAAAGTTTATCATCAAGCAGGGGATCAAAGATAATTCTGCTGTGGTTCAGCTCAAGTGTTCGCTACCGGTTATTAATGGTTATTCGTGTTGAATATGTTCACGAGTGTTTAATGATTTTGAAGTTGAAGACGGTTCTTCACTTTTGATTTGTTGATAAATTTTAAATTATTCTCATATTTTCATTGAAAAATGTAGTTGAGCGAAATAGTAATAAGAAAAAAGCAAAACAAAAATACTGATCAGCTCCTAAAGAACTATAAACCTTGGGTATATCTTTCTCCTCATAGCTCAATTTAAGAAGATCTAAGAAACTATTAAATTGAAATGGGCAATATTTAAAGGCAGACTTTTGAATTTCCATGAGTGAGAAAATGAGTCGATTATTATTGGATATATTAAAACACTAATTAGCCGATAAACAGTGAAGTGTTTCATTATTAACTGTTAAATATTGTATTAAATTAATAATCTTGTAAAAGTATCTACCTACTTACACAATATTTACAATAAATCATTTTTATTTAATTAAAGTAAAAGGCTTAATTTGAAACATTTTTACAAAAGTGTAAAAGCAACCACAAATAAAATATAATTATCATAGTTTTTGCTGCATATAACGCACAACTTTTGTCAATTGCCATTTTTAGCCAGAAACTGAATCCCGCAAAATGTCGTTTTAATTATGCGCTGTTTGAATTGAAAGGCTCTCACAAGTAGTTAATTATGCACAATTTTGAACAAGAACTTTTGCCATTCACATGAAACATTCGCTCGTTTATTGACACAGGTATTTCAGTATAATTCACAAGAAAGGATAAATGCGAATTGTAAATATTTGCTGGCTTTTGTGGCACCCAAAAAAATGTGGGCTGCACACATTTCAATTTCACTTAGTCCGTTTGCACGGCGGAGGGAGAGGCCAAAGGAATGTGTGCATAATTAATGCACATTTCACTTTAAAATGCACACACGCACACGCACGCACACGCACACGCATGCAGGCACAAGTGCACACACATTTGCATTTGCACACATAAACGCGCGCGCGAGGCAAAATGGCGACGGCTGTGCCGCCTTTTCCGTGCGTTGCTTTAAGCAAAGATTTGCGATTAATTGTTGCATGGTGGATTCAATTTGCATGTGGACAATGCTGGTCCGTAAACATGCAACTGCATGTCTGCAGGCTAGTGTGAGTGCGTGTGTATGTGTGTGTGTGTGCGTATGCCATTCACGCCTGTAAGTATGCAACGACAAGTTTCCGAGTAGACTGAATTAATTTGATTTTTATTACATTTCTCACAATTGTTTGACTTAATTATTTGCGTATTTCAGATTTCTTGAGGTTTTCGGTACATTTCTGAATGGGTTTTTGAAATGTTTAAAGGCCGATTAAACAAATCTGAGCGACCGTAATCAACGCGCGTCCGGACGCATCTCAGAACACGAACTGAATGACGAACACTAACGGCAAGTGCGAACCAGCGGCCGAAGCAGCGCCGACGCCAACGCCGACGCCGACGCCACAGCATCCAACGGCAGCAGCAGCGGCAGCAGCGACTGCGGCAGCATCAGCAGCTGGCGAGCTATCCAAAATAGCGACACTCGCTTGGCGTCGACATCGGCATGTGCTGAGATAACAAAAACAGAGAACGAAAACGAAAACAGACGCCGAGAGTACGCTCAAGTGTAGAGTTTGACGCTCTCTCGCGCTCTACACGGGCTGCCGGTAAATATTACGGTATTCGCCGGCAAAATACGAAAAAAGAACATAAACAACATTTGAAATTATTAACTATGAGATGCCCTCTATAAGCTTTTTGATATTGGAATTTTTTCGCAATATATATTGAGTTTTCTTGTAAGCAAAATATTTTAGAATTATTTTGGCCCTTCTTAAATTCGTTATTTTTAAAGAGAAAACGACAGATGTTTGAAGTTGAGTACTAGTTCAAAAATAACCTAGGCTTACGTTTATAATACTACTTCGCAAGACACAAGCTGTATTTTGTTTTTCTCATATGACTTCATAAACTTTTCTGTCTTTCCTGCTCTTGCAATAAATTTACCCCATTTCCCCCATTTACCCCATTTTTAAAATATATATAGGGTAAATTTGACAACAAACTTTTTAACGATTGCTTGTCATCTCCTGCAGCATTGCCAACACAAAATGTATATCGAAAGACGCTTTCGTGACAGCTTCTAAAGCTTTTGGAACAACTCGCCTTGCGCATCTTCGACTTGGTTGAAGCTCAGGATAAAGCTTTTGTGGAATTTGTGTTCATTGGGACAAGGACATTTGTGAGACACGCTCCAAAAACGAAAGCTTTCTAAGGTTAGGGTGCAATGAATAAAAGCGCACCCTAGTCACCTTTAGTTGGGATATTTGGGTAAAAGATTTTAAGTCTAGGATATATTAAAATATAAAATAGCCCAGGTAATCAACAAACATGTTTTATTTCTATTCATTCCTTCTAATTATATGTATGTATATTTAACTTTTATTATGAAAAATAAACTGTTTTTCCGTATACATCATGTTAATATGATTAACATTGATTTCCATACTTAAATGATGATTTTTAGCCTAGACAATTACTAGGGAAAATCGACAAGAATATTGAAACGAAAAATGAAAAGAAAATGCATTTAGAATAATTGCCTTAAATGGGCGTATGCGTAATTGCAGCCAGAAAGTGAATGTCGGCCACATGGAGGCTGATGATGATGATCATAACGGCAATGATGATGCCGCTGATGACGTTGCACGGCCAGCAACCCAAGCAGCCAAAACAAACAAACAAACAGACAGACGCCTCGTGGCACTTGAAAAACACGCCGCACTCTGGACTGCTGCGTGGGTGCACAGGGGTGCAGGGGGGTGAAAGGGCGGAGGCTGATAAGTGCCAAGGCACGCCGGCAAAAGGGGGTGAGGTGGGAGTGCATATTTGTGTGTGTGGCATGCAACTCAGCTGGGGCAGCAACAGCAATTCGGCTTGCAAATGCAATTAAGACATTAAGTGGACCCGAGAGCGGGTCGATCCGTGCCGTGCCGTGCCGGTCATCAAAGCAGGCAACAATGTAAGCGAATTCGAGTGGATCCACATTCACATTGGTTGATGGGGGCCCAGCACTTAAGCCCTGATCTGATATCACTAAAAATACTGCTTGCATGTTTCACGGTCATACGGAAAACGAATATAATAAATGCTTAAGGAAAATTGGCTGATAAGCCCAAGCGAGCTCATCCAAATGCGGGTCAAATACAAAGCACAAAGACAAAGGGGAAAACTCTTTCGGGAAATTGCAATCAATTTTTGATTATTTGTACCCTCATGGAGGGTATTTTAAGTTTGCCATCAAATGTGTAACGGATCTGTCAGGCAGTATATATCGAGGAATCCGACAAATCCAAATCATATAGGAATAATCACTAGAAAATTAAGTATTTGTATAAAATTTTGCCAATTTATCTTGAGCAAAATATTATTAAAAAGAGACGATACAAAAAAGTGTTTTATTATACCTTTTTGGTTTTCAAGAACATAGCATTTAGAAGCTTCAGTAGTATCAACTTTTTTGTCGTTTAAAGATGCATTGACCAAGCCCAGCTATAACGAGCTTTACTATTCTGCTAATATGATTGTAATATGTAAAACTAACTTAAAACGAAGTACTTTATTATATGGCTCCTATAGGAACAATCGTTCGGAAATGTAGCTTATAAGCTTGCCTAGACTATATCTCATATTCTTTTTTTTTATTTTTTCTTTTTATTTACAAGTTCTAGATAAAGAAACAAGCCCAAAGATCACAAGTCCCAAACTAAACTGGATTTACTTAATAAATTATTCTTTGAATATATGAAAGCGATGGCATCAGATGCATCACATAACATATTAAACAGATAAGTCAAAGTAGATTAATATAAATATATGAATAGTAGAAATATCCGCATACACAAAAAAGCCAATATCAATTTATATAATAACAATGGGCTTTTAGAGTGCATTTCTCGCCATTTCATGCACTGTGAACACTTTATGTTTTCCGTCATTCACAGTTGAGATCGGGCAATGCACCGGAGACTAAAAAGAAGCACTTTGCTGTGCATAAATCTTTCACTTGAGATCGGGTTAATTGTTGTACAAAGGCAGCGGTGTGTTCATTTGAGGGTCATTTAGATCAAGGGGAAGTTGGGGAGCGGGGGAAGTTGCACTTACCTTAAACATCATTGGGTTGCGTTCAACGTCCGATTCTGCGTTTTCGCAAAGCGTTTCCATTTCCGAGAGAAAAGCAAGAAACTGCAAAAGACAATTCAATTTAAGGCCTTGCCGCTTCGCGTGGACTGATATAATTGCTCACCTGATCCATGGCACGATCGAAAGATTGTAGACTGTGCACGGCGGCATGAAGTTGTTTGCCACGATTGATCACACCATTATTTAAGTTGGAATATCTGCAAGTAGAGTGTGGAGAGCACGATAACAATAATAGAACTAACGATCAACCAAAACCCTATGATGGTATGTTTTTATACCCTGAATCCATTAAAGGGTATTATGTATTTATGCAAATGTATGTAACAGACAGAAGGAAGCATCTTCGAACCCATAAAGTATATACATATATTCTTGATCAGCATCAACAGCCGAGTCGATCTAGTCATGTCCGTCCGTCTGTCCGTCTGACCGTATGTATGAACGCATGGATCTCAGAACACATAAGAGCTATAGACTTGAAATTTTGGATGTAGGTCCTCCTAGATCGCCTGCGTTGATCGAGTTTGTTCCAAGTAATCGATAAAAATCGATATCGATAATTTGTTTTTTTTTAGCAATTTCGGCAAATAATATGAGCTAGAGCTATTAAACTTGACATGTAGCTTCTAGAATAGTATATATATATATAGTATTTTTCAATTTATACCTATCGGAAGAAGAGGGTTCAGGGTATCCCCTAGTCGGGAGCTCCCGACTAGAACCTCTTACGTGTTTTTTAAATAAATAAATGAATTAAGGAAAATTACTTTTCATCCCATCGAAATTAAGAGCAAAAATCAATTTAATTTCCGAAAAGTTTGACATGAATCGAAATGTAGAACTTTCGTTAAAATGATTTCCCTTTCTAAGAAAAGTATGTTCCTCTAGAATGGTTACAAAACTCTATTGTGATTGTTCAGCTCTGTTCAGAAGGCCGATTTTGAACAAAAGGCGCACTTGGTCGTAAAATATTTACGCATTTCCAACCACTTAAGGGGTATTAGAAATATGTTTGCATAGTCTAGTCCGCTCGACTGTATTGCTGTATTCCATTTCAGATGCTAATGGTGAAGCTGGCGATTCGAGGGGAACAAGTGCAAGTCATTAAATCGCATTAAATGCAAATTCGCGCAAGTGATTTGAATTGAAATTGCGCAACTTTTCGCATTTCATTAGAGTCGCTCGAGGAAGGCGCTGCACGATTTCAATGTCCCACTCACCGTTGATTAAGGGCCTCTGTCATCTTCTTAATTCTGGTAGTATCATCGTTGGGATAGACTGCAATTAGTTTCTGCGTCAAGTCGCTGAAGAGCTCGAAGTGCTGCTTATTCTGATGCAGCTCGGCGTGGAAGGACTACGGATAGGCAAAAGATGTAAAGGAAATTGATTAATTTATGCACTCCATGGATATGCCACGTCCCCCTCTCCCCCTCCATCAGGTTACCTTCTGCTCCTTCTGCTGTGCCCCCAGTATATCGGCTGTGGTGGCAACGGTGCCCATGCGCTCGGCCCGCTGCTCCATGCGCCCGAGCCATTTCTCGAGCTCCAGGCGCTTGGCCTCAAACCTGCCAATAGGAATTTAGCATTAATTAGATTGACCCCAAAGTAGGCAAAAGGATAACCCACCGCTGCGAGTCACTTAGCATGTTCTTCAGCTGCGCTGCTCGCTGCAGGACGCACTGCGACGTCTCATCCCAATGCTCCCTCAGGCGGGTCACTGCGAATGCCAGAATAGAGAGGAGTTTAATTAGTGGTGCCCCAGAGTGATTAGTGATTGGTTACAGTTCTACAATATTAGCTAAAACAACAATCAATTTTAATTGGGTGACAGCAATTAGCTGGTGTTTTTTTTTTATAGTATTCGGGGGAACCTATGGTACCGGCACCCCATTCAACAATTATTGATCAGTTGTCAGTTTATAAAAAACGCCATGCAACATAATTAGTAAACAACAGTGTTTGAGTCCTTCAGGAGTGTAACTATTCCGTGAGGTGTGAGGTAGTCTCAATTATTATCATATTAGTTGGGCCCCACTCTGGTATCTTTGGGGGCTGTTAGCTATCGCACAACTGGATTAGCGTGAACAGAAACTGTGGTCGTTACCTTTCAGAAAGCAACGTATATAGTCTAAATCAGCTGAACAATGCGGTGCTATCGAGAACTGTTTTAATTCTAGCAGAGAAGTGAAAAATGAATAAGTTTTAACAATATATAAATCGGATCAAATCATTTTAAATACATTTGTAGCTTAGATTTTAAACAATAGAAAGAAACGTGGAAATATGAAAATAAAAATTAATATAAAATTCGTAGATAATTTCTGTTTTACGTTTTATTATATTTCTTAATATAATAGTTTAGGTATTAATTTTTATATGAATATATTTAGAGATAATATTTTGTTTCGTTTGTGTCTATAAAATATTTAACATATATCCAGAACAAGTTCTTCTCAAAGAATGCAATATTGATGGAGGGAATAAAAATTAAAATAGAAAGAAAACTAAATTTCTTAAGATAATATGAGTCGCTTTAAATATTAATATTTATTATATGGATATTTGCTTTTTAAATATTATATACCCTTGAATGTTTTAAGAAAAGTAAGACAATAATAATTTGTTTTTATCATGTAAATCTAAGACGAACAGGGTTTTCTGATTGGAACCCTTTACCATGTTGTGCAGTTTAAACTGTTGAACAAAATGACGAAAAATAAACCTTGTTAAGATTTCTATTATTTTGTTTGTCATTTGAAAGAGTTGAATGTAATAACAATAATAAAAAATAATCAAAACAAAAATAAATAGGAACTAAATTTCTTTAAATAATAAAAATATGATTTAGGGTATTTATTTTTGGTTTTTAAATGTTAGTTAAAATATTTATAATAAAATATTGAAAATTTAGAAAACAATAATTATTAATTAGCCCGACAGCTTAAAATTTAATTAATACTGAACGAGTATCTAAACACATTTTGTCGCGTAATTCCCGGAAATCGAAGTTGATGAAAAAAACAACAGAAAAACCCCCATTTTGTAAACAATCGGACACCTTTTTGTGGGCAAACAGCGATGCTCTTTCAGTATATTCCGCAGAAGTAGTCGTTGCTTACAATTCTCAATTGGTTAAAGCTTCATATTAGTCCTTGGGTCGGTAGCAAAGTCTACCTATGATATAGTCGAGAGGTTCTCAGGCCCTCCAAGCCGGATAGCTTACAACTTAGTTCGTACTAAGCATTTTCTCATTTGATTATATTTATTATTCAAATGTAGGAGACACATGGTTTAGGGATTGGAACACCCATGTCCACGATGGACAGAGATTCATTATTGATATGCTTACACACTCTCTCTCTCTCTTCTTACCCTGGATGCATCCGGCAGCGTTCTGGGATATTTGGGTTTCGTCGTGCGACGAGCGTCGTCTGATGCGTAGCTCCTCCCGGGACAATCCGACTGCCGCAACGCCGTTGCCGGCGGCGACCTGAGCGACAGCAGCAGCGGCGACCGCAGCAGCCCGCGACTGAGCCTGGTGCTGGAGCAGCGCTGCAGCTGCCGCTGAGCCGGGCAATGGGCCCATATTGTGCACCACCTGGGGCGGAATGTTGCCCAGCAGCTGCTGGCGAATCTGTTCACGGAACTCGCTGCTCAGGGGCATGGGTGGCTGTGGCGACTGCTGCTGCTGCTGGGTTGGCGCAGCTGACTGGGAGCCAGCACCTGGCCCTGGATGGTGGCCAGCGGCAGACAGATTGTTCTGCATGCGATGGCGGCTGTATTGCAGCTCCAGCGGCAGATTGCGATCCAGAGAGCGCATGTGATGCTCGATGGTGGAGCGCATGGACTGCTCCACCTGCGAGGCCGATGCTGATGAGACGGACGAGGAGGATGAATTGTGCAAGGACTGCTGCTGCGCCTGGGCACGCAGCTGCTTCAGTTCCTCCAGCGACTGCCGCGAGTCGCCGGCGCGACTCTCATCCAAGGACAGGTTGCGCTCGTAGTTGGCGGTGCGCAGATTGACGGAGCTGCCCAGATGACGTCCGCCTCCAGCGGCCAGGCTGGCCTTGAAGCTCAGATCGAAGTTGTTCTGCACGGCCGCCTCCAGGGTGCGCAGATTCATCTGCTCCTGCATGGCGCGCTCCATGTTGCGCAGCCCGCTCTCGATGCCACGCAGCGCATCCTCCGAGCCGAACTCATCCGTGGGAGAAGCGGCAGCAGCTGCTGGTTGTTTGTTTAGCTTCTTGGCCTCGCTGGCCCTCGTGGGCGCCGGAGAGGGCACCGGATTGCAATTCGCCGCCGCATTCTTGGAGCTCTGCTCGGCGAGTGCCGCTACTGCGGATTGCAGCACCAGCGGCGGCGGCGGAGGCGGCATCTCAAAGGGATTGGAGCAACGTCGTGCGGCCATTGCCTCCGCCGAGAGCGTGGAGTGCTTCTCTGGCGGCGGCGGCGGCTTATCCTTAAACTTGAGCCCCGCCAGAGGCGAGTTCTGTGCGCTGTTCTGGGCTGAGCTGTGCGCGGAAGCGGGCTTCTTGGGCAGAGGCGGCGGCTGGCGCAGAGGTGGTGGCAGGCCAGGCAGCACCATCGCCTGGCCGTCGGGCAAACTTTTCAGACTGTGGCGTTTGGGTGGAATTTCGGGCGGTGCCGCCCGCTCGCTAGAGCCGCGCGCCGGAATCGCTGGCACCGGCCGGCTCTGAGGGGGCAGCGGAGGTGGTGCTGCCTTCTGCCCCGCGACCTGCTCCTGGGAGCTCTGCTTGCGCAGCAGCTGCTGGCCGCGCAGCGCTGCCTGGGCGGCCAGCTCGGAGTTGAGCCGTGGTATCTGCGGCGCCAGCTTGGGCGTCTGGTCATCGGGCACCGTGGGTGGCACCGGAGGCGGCGGCTTGGCAGTCATCGCTGGTTCTGGATTGTTTTGTGCGTGTCGTTGTGCGTTGGGTGTGTAGCTGTGGCAGCTATGGCAGCTGCTGTTGGATTATGGTTTCCCGTAATGGGTTCACTTTTCACTTGATGTGCGGCATCACGTGCGGCTTTCGATATGTTGCATTCGCATTTTCCGGCGCGGCTCAAATGTTAAAAAAAACGCGCCTGCATATTGACATTGGTAAATGGTAAACAAGTGCAACAACCCCCCGCACCGCCGGCACAACACCGGCGTCTGCAACCATGCGGCTTGTGGTCTGGCCCAGGTTTGTTTATACAACGTGCCGGAAACTCAACACAGTTACAGGCCACAGGCAAACACACACAAATAACAAAAGCACACGAAAGAGAACGCGACTTGGATCTAAGAGAACGTTCTCTTCAAAAACGAGATTCACCCCATGCCAGCCACCAACCCCCACACACACGCATACGCTCGTTTGTCTCATGCTCTTTCGCACTATCTTTTTCACCACACTTTTCGCAGCACACTGCGCCGGCTGTTAACGCACAGGCGGCATTTTCGGTAATCTCTGAAAACGTTGCATACTTTTGTCGCTGTTTTGCTTTGCTTTCTGCTTCGTCGGACAGTAGATATCGAATATGAAGCACAAGCATTCGACTTTGACTTGTTCACAATTTTCAACTATTATTATTATTAATTTTACTTTTAAATATGACTTGATTTATACATATTTCACGTCCTATGCGTAATTCGTACTGCTTTGAATAATGTCGAATTTTAAATAAATGTTTTTCATATTGAATTTATATTAATATGTCACTTGTCGAAAATACTTTGTGATTACATTTATCTTAAGGCATTTTTTATTATATTAAATAAATAAATTGTTTGGCTCCTTATATTCGGTTTCTACTGTAGTTGATTTCAGACGCGTCTGCACTGAGTAAACATGTGTGTATACATGAGTGCACAACACTGCAAGGCAAAAAAAGACACACACACACGCACACACTTAAAGAGACACACACACACAGGCATATGAAGGTGGGCGTTGGGCGCCCAAACAAATGCAGCAAACTTTTTACGCAGCGCCACAGCGAACTTTGCCTTTGACGCCTGCAACAAGGAGCAACAGAGAAGTTTGTGTCCTTGTTGTTGATGTTGAAGTTGTTGTTGTTGTTGTTGTTGTATTTGCTGCTGTCATTCCATGTGCGCCTTAACGGTGCGCTTTTATTGTCCCGTCCAGTCGGTGTCGTGCCATTAAACCCCAGAAGCCGCCCGTGGCAGGTGCATTTAACTTCTGGCACACCTTTAAATGCATATAACAATGTCGGCGTTGCAACGTGTTCGTTTACTACATTTTTATTGTTTACCGCTGTCTGTCTCCCTTCCACTCTCTCACGCTACCTGTCGCTGTCTCTCCCTCTAGCTCATTGTTCTGCAACAATTTGTATAAGGACTGTCTGTGCCCGTTTGCCTTTTGTTACCTCAAATGCTTGACTTCATTTAATAGTTTTTTAAATCATTTGCAGCCGCATAGTGAACGATAGTTGCTCTTCCTCTTCGTCCTTCGACTTTTCAGCTGTCTCTTTATTTGCTTTATTTGCCTCATAACTTGCTTTAAACATTTATTTTTCTGATTTGCAAATTTTTGCAATTAGTTTTTAGGAGTTGTTGCGGTAAACGTTTCCACCTAAATTGAGTATTGTGTTGCAATTAGCTATAGCTCGAAATGGAAAATATATCTTGCTTTTTCCACAATTAAGTGGAATTTTCAGCTTGTTCTCTATTTGCCTCATAAGCTGCTTCAATTATTAAGGCCTTATTTTCCTGTGATAACTTTGAGTTGCAAATTTTCGCAATTTTAGTTTTTAGTTGTTAGAAACAGCAGCTCAACTCAAATTGAGTAGGGCAATTAACTAAAAGCACAAATGGAAAATATTATAAATGCCTTTCAGTGCAAAGATATACAAAAAGCAAGGTGTCTATTCAAACATGTCTGACTGTCGCCTCTAGGAGCATCAAATAAGCTTAGAACCAGGGACTCTAGTAGTTATGCGTCTTATATAAACAAATAACACGATTCTCAATTGTAATAGTTAATTGTAAGCTATATGATATTCAGTTATATGATAAAACTCTGGCCACAATCATTATATTTGAGCAATAAAAATTAAAGTCAGAAATACCTAGCATCGGCTGAGTATATTATAACTCCAAATTTATCATTTCAATTGACAAATATTCTTGAAACTCCAAAATTATTTTATCATGGCGGATATTCAATGATT